GTTCGGTCTAAATGTTAAAATAAGATAGTTTATCCTAGAGATTGCATACTATAAAACAAATCTGGTATGCATTTTTGTTTTTAGACTCTTCTTCAATGAAATACCATTGAGTCAATTTGTTATATTCCTACTATGTTTCAGGTTAGCATCCTAGTTTTAGGAATGAGATTTATTTTAATGTATCATAATTCGCCCATTTCAAGTGTGCAATTTAATGATTTTTATGAAAGGTAGAACCATCACTATAAATTGGTTTTAAAATATTTTCATCTTCCCCCAATTAGACCCCTCATGCCCATTTAAAGTTAATCTCAATTCCTGCTCCCAACTGCAGGCAATCACTAATCTACTTTCTGTCTCTATATAATAGTTACTTTTTATAAAAGTTCATATAAATGGAATCACATAATGTGAAACCTCTCTTAGCACAATGTTTTTAAGGTTTATCTGTGGTGTACCTACCATGTGTCAGCAGTTGTTCCTTTTCATCACTGAATAGTTTTCCATTGTATGGCTCTACCCACAGTTTGTCTATGCATTCAGCAGTTGGTAGACATTTGAATGTTTCCTGTTTGGGTCAATTATAAATATTGTCTAATGAACATTCACATGCAAGTCTTTGTGTGAACACATTTTTTCATATCTCTTGGGTAGATACCTAGGAGTGGAATTGCTGGCAGGTATGGTAGTCTTAGTTTAGCTTTTTGAGAAACCACCAAACTGTTTTCAAAGTGAATTTACCATTTTATATAACCACCAATGATATATAAGCGTTCCCATTTCTACACAACTGCACCAACACTTGTTATTTCATCTTATTATAGTCATTCTTGTGTGAAATGGCATCTCCATGGTTTTAATTTGTGTTTTCCTAATTACTCATGATGTTTAAGCATTTTTATGTTTATTAACCATTTATATATCTTCGTTAAAATGTCTGCTCATATCTTTACCCACTTTGTAATTGGTTTCATTATCAAAATGGACTCATGAATTCCTAAACTTTCCAAAGGTGTATAATACTAAATTACTGTATTTAATTATCTTGATATTCAAATTGTTTCAGATTTGGCCAGTGGGAACTTCTATAAGATGGCTCCTTGTGACTTTCCCCATCATTTTCTCAAGCACTTCTTTTTTGGCATAACAGAGCTTATCTTGTACCTATTCTGCCCTAGCTCCAGAGATGGCCATTTTGTTGAGGAGCTCTGGTTCCTTGTAGTGAGAATGGTATTAGAGACCCAGGTCAGGCACAATGGCACTTCAAAGAGATTATTCTGGAAGCTGTGTGAATGATGTATTTAGTTCTCTAAGTTTGTGACAAATTAGCACAAAACTTATTGGTTGAAAAGACCTCACAGTTTCTCTGGATCTAAGAAAGCAGCTTAGGAGCAACTCGGGAGCAGCTTAGGTGGGTGGTTTTAGCTAATGGTTCCTCACGAGGTTTTAGTCAAGATGTCATTTAAGGCTGCAGTCAACTAAAGGCTTGACTGGGACAGGAATATCTGTTCCCAAGATGGCTTACTTATATGGCTATTGGCAGGATGGGCCAGACTCTTTCTAGCTGTCAGCTGGAGGCCTCAGTTCCTTGCCACATGGGCATTTCTATAGGGTGTCTTGTGTGTCCTCACAACATGCAGGCTGGCTTCTCTTGGAGCAGGTGATACAAAAGAAAATAAAGCGGAAGCCACATTTTTTATGACCTAACTTCAAAAGTTACACACCATCCATTCCACAATAGCCTTATAGTCACACAAGTCAGCGGTATTCAGTGAGAGGGAACTACACAGAGAATTAGGGGCCATCTGGGACTCTAGCTACCACACTCCCCTAAGGTCACAAAGATCCTTTTCTATATTATTTTTAGAGATTTTCTGTTTTACTTTTCACATATAGGCCTAGCACCCATCTGGATTGCTTTCTATGTATGGTGTGAGATAGGGATGCAAGATTCATTTTTGCCTATGTTGACATCCAATTGATCTGGTAACATTTATTGAAAATTCCACCCTTTCCTTCACCATATTGTAGTGGCATCTTTTTCACAGATCAGGAACCCTTACATGTGTGGGTCTGCTTCATTGGTCTGTTTGACTTTGTGCCAACACCACATGGATTTGCTTTCTGTGGCTTTATAAGGGGTCTTGACATCTGATGTCATGATTGTTTTGGCTATTCTCAGCCCTTTGCTTTTACAAATACACTTTATTTAGCCTTGGCCACTTTTGCAACCCTAGTAAGAGTCTATCTAATTGATCTGGGGTGGCGCCTGCATATCAGTATTTTTATAAAACTCCCCAGTTGAGTCTAAAATTCTTGCAGGGTTGGGAACTACTGATCTAGTTGAACAATACTCTGTGATAGCAGGGGAAATCAAGGCCCAAAGAAGTTACGTGCTTACTAGAAGCTACACAGAGAGGCAGTTGCACCACGAGGGCTTCCATCCACATGCCGTTTTCCAGTTCAGTTCCCTTTCTACCATCTGTATTTATTCTTGGATATGCCACTGTAGATGAGTAGCAGAAAAGCAAGGAGAGGAGAGACTTCCCAGTTTCCCAGCTCTGAGAGTTGCAGAGGGGACAGGAGGATATTAGGTTATTAGTTCATGGACACAGCCAGGATGCTCAACATGGGAGGTTGTAATGAAGGACTATGCAGAGATCTGATAGGTCATCTCTCCAAATCTTTGACAGATGAGGAAACTGAGGCCCAGAGAGGTCATATGGCCAGTTACTGGCAGGGGCAGGACTTGGGTCTGAAGTGTGCCGTGCTCCTAGCGCAGTCTTCATTATCCCACTATGTTTGGCATTCTACCCAGCTACACTCACCTGAGGCAGCAACTCTCACCACCAGCTTGAGCTCTGGTCCCTCATGAGTTTCTGTCTACAACTTACCTCTACAAACCTCATGGATGCTTCCTGAAAAGAGCAAGGCCTTATTTTCCATGCAATTACCTTTTTTTATTAACAAAGCAGAAAAAAAATGTACTGCTCATATGGCTAAATGGTATTAAATAATCTCAGGCCCTCAGAAAAAATATCTTTAACTCTAGCCTTTAAAATTTGTAATAGGAAGATTTTTTTCTTCCACAATGGGGCAGCAAAGAGCTTTTTTAATACACCATTTACAGAGGGCTTAAAAACTGATGGTGGTAGCACTTTTTTTTTTTTTAAAGAAAAACAACTTCCTTAGGCATTTCTTTCTTTCTTTTTTTAAGTGTACTGGGAAGGCACTACAACCACAGCTTTTTATTTAGGCAAAATTCTTTATCTTAAAGTTTTTAACAGAGCTTTTATAGTAACCATTGTCTGGTGTCTGACCATGTGGTAGACTTATACCAGGTGTCAGAACATGTAGGTTCTACTACTGGATCCAAGAGTCCTTGAGCTGGTCATTGCCACTTCTGATCTCTCCATCTCATCTACTAGGAGACTAAATTCAATCACCTCTAAACTTTCTTTAGATCTAAATTTCTGTAATTTAAAAACCCTAGTCTATCATCATTTTAGACTAAAAAAGTTTTCATTTAAAAATGTTCCAGGTGGTGGGAACTCTCTATGTGCCACCTAGTTACGTGCCCTTGGGGGCGCCTTGTTCTCTCCAGAGCCTGATACAACAAGAAGTCAGCAATCTGCAACCCAGTAGAGGACGCTTAGGAGGCCTCAACCTTATCAGCTAGCATCTTCATCTCAGAATTGCAGTCTCCACAACTAGGTTGAGCCTTTGTTCAAGCTAGAAGATTATGATCTCACATGGATTGACAGGCAGCAGTCATGGCTCCTAGAATGTGTGTCATGATTCCAGACCAAGGAGTATTATTCACTCACTTGGAAAACGTTAAAACCTGTAGGCCCTGGGGCCCGCCTTCCTCCAGCCACCCCTCTAGTCCATCTGGGAGTAGCTACAGCCCCCGCTGCTGCTGCTGACTCAGCTTCCTGCGGCCCTCATCGGCCACCTGGCGATGCTGCAAGGCTTCCGGAGCCACTGCGGCTGCCATCGCCTCCGCCAGTGCCCGTCCCACAGTCCCCTGACCCCCGCAGAACCCCCCTACCATGGCTCTTTGGCCTTGATAGCCAGTGCCCCGGCTGCCAGCCACACCAGCCCTGGCAACCTGGCAGTCCTCACAAGTGCGCCAGAACTACCACCCCAACTGTGAGGCCCTCATCAACCACCAAGATACGGAGGCAACGAAAGTGCCCATCAGTAGGTGAGTAGATAAAAAAGATGTGGTATATGTATACAATGGAATATTACTGATCCATAAAAAATAATGAAGTCTTACCATTTGTGACAACATGAATGGACCTAGTGGGTATTATACTAAGTAAGTCAGACAGAGAAAGACAAATACCATATGATTTCACTTATACGTGGAATCTAAAGAGCAAAATAAAACAGAAACAAACACCTAGTTACAGAGAACAAATTGATAGTCACCAGATGGGAGGGGTGTTGGGGGGATGGGTAAATAAGGTGAAAGGGATTAAAAAGTACAAATTGTCAGTTATAAAAAGTCACAAGGATGTAAAGTACAGCATAGGGAATATAGTCAATAATATTGTAGTAACTATGTATGACGTCAGATGAGTACTAGACTTATTGGGGTGATCACATTGTAAGGTATATAATGTCTAATCACTGTGTTGTACATCTGAAACTAATATTGTATGTCAACTGTAATTAAAAAATAATTTAAAAAAATTAAAAAAAATACTTTGATACAAGAGCTTATATAGATTCATCCCTCCTTAAAATAATGCTGGACTTTGACATGGCAAATAAGAAACTTGGGCTGTGATACAGTCCTGAGAGTAACTGTGCTCTGAGGGGATATTTTAGGAGCATTACCCACCTGTCTAAGTGCTTATATAATACTGTGGCCATCTCTTGTCTTTTTGGAGGTCTACCCCCTCTTCCATTTCCTAACTTAACATCTGGTAAAACAGAATTTTGTTTAGCAATTAAAATAAAATAACAAACAAAAAAATCAGACATGACACTATCAGAATTAAAATGTTTAATAAGCATAAAAATTATGTTAAAGATGTGAATTAAAAACTAGATATTAGGCAGACTTACCATAATACAAAGTACTATTATTTTTACATTTGAAAGAAAGCATAAAGTATAAAATCGTAAAATGTTGGCATGGACAAGGAAAGCATTAACAGCCCTTTCAGTGATTTATCATATAAATGTTTTTAAAGTGCAATAGTTTAAAGCATTACATTTAAGAGTTTAATAAACATCTAACTCCAACATAATCTCACAGAACAGTTTTTTTTCTCAAAAAAGCTACAAACTGTTTTGTTAGGAAAGTTGAAATTAAGCGTGTATGAAATAAAGGCATAATAAACTTGCTAATGCCAAGTTATTAGTGCAATTGAAAAGCATATGAAATTCCAGATCAGGAACAAATTTTCCTGCTCAAGGTGCAGTAAAATCCATACATGTATCAGCTCATCTAAAAGCCATACAACAGCCTCTCCATTTACTCACAGTTTGTTCCTGGCCATTTAGTTCATTAGGTTTTTCTTTGTTTGTTTGTTTGTTTTCTGATTAACAAAAATTGTCAAGGCACCAAAAGATAAACCTGTATTTCATTTAGCCATTTTGAAAATGCAGAGGTATGCACTGCTATGGGATCAAGAGTTGGCAGTACCCGAGAAGTGGTTTAGAAACAACTGCAGTCACAAAGACTAGTAGGTTTGAAATGAACAATGCTACTTTTTAACTAGGTCCCTTAACATCTCTAAGCCTCAGCTTCATCAGCTACAAAATGGCATCAAAGTATCTGTAAGAATTATGCAAATCATTAAATATGGTGCCAGCAGAAACAAAGGCTAAATAATAAAGTTGTTCATATTACTATCATGATTATTTCCATATAAGGAGGGAGTACTATGGGAGAATAAAGGAAAAGGCTAGTCATTCTTTTGAGTATGTTCTCATTGGGAGAAATATTGGCATACTCAGCAGTAAAATCCTTCATTGTACAGAACTGCTCAGACTTTTAAGCATCCTGGCCTCAAGGCAGCAAAAGGCCAGTAGCACCCCATCATTGTGCACCCACACATTTCCAAACACCCTCTGAAAGAGGTCATTACCTTTCTTGAGCACTGCTCTTCTAGAGGGGCCTTCTTTATTAAGAAACAATTTAGTTCTCTTAATGAGAGTAAGAATGACTTCTTATCTTTGAGAGTATTCAAGGATGAGATACATTAGGCTTGGTGGCAGGGAGAATAAGACAAAAATAGTTCAGTACAATCTGAATCCTTTCCTGATGAATCCTAGTACAAAATTCCCCTGCTGATTATTCAGGGCTCAAGCCAAAAGGTAGAGCTATATCTTTGTAAGGAAACTCAGCAGAAGGGAATTGTGCCATGAAGCTACTTTTTCAGCCAGGCTCACTTTTTTATATGTTTGAAATAGAAGGTAGACATATAAATTCAGACAATAAGCTTTTTTCAACATATTGGCCCAGGATCCACTTCCTCCCATGTCTACAAAAAGTAAAAAGTAAAATCATAGACAGATTAACAATAACAAAACAAGCCACCCAAAACTGACATGGGATCTCTGTCAAAAAAGCTCTAACTCCTGAATTGTTCTCCGGAACTTATCAGTGTTTTGATGAGGTCAGAAAAGACATGAGGCATTTGGCCTTCATTAAGTGTTGAGAGACAGAAGCCAAGTTTTGTTAGCCAAGTTTTTTTACACATGAAATGACTAAGGCACTAAGAGATGAGAAGAAATGCTCATTGGTGTAAGCCACTGGGAATAAAATCCAGATCTCCTGCTGCCAAATCCAGTACTTTGGTCCCATCCCTTAAGTTACAGAAATGCATTACTAAAATGGCTGAAGTATCCTGCTGAGGAATCCTCCAAGATGAAAACTCCCATATGCTCTACCCTCTTTCTAGGATCTCTCTAATTTGAGTTTAACCTGGATCTACTGTGAACTGCAGAAGGAAAAATCAACTTTGGATTATGTATTTACATTGTGTTCACCATCTCTCCTTGGAGATGCCTTTATCTCTTAGAAACCACTACGTTAAATGGATATGGGGCTAAAGTTAGACCGTATCTTCCAGTCATGATGGGCTTCTTGGCATCCTTAGGTAGAGAGAATGCGAAACTCTGCATTAGGCTCACGAACATCAGGAATAATTCCATCTTTGCCAGCTGCTCTCCCATACACACTCGTTTCCCTAAAAAATGAGATGAGAAACAAGCATGATAATACCATCATCCCTTTCCCTATCTCAAACAGGACATATTTACATGAAATATCTAAATTGAGTGTTTTAAATGCAGATACAGAGATTTAAAACAAACTTACCACATATGCCATAGGACCTCCAACAATATAGGCTGATCAGCAGTTTTACATACCAAGTTCACATTTTAACTCCAACTCATAAAAATCTACCCTCAACCTAAACAGGAACTATATAGACAGATCAATGTGGCAGCTACCTTGTCTCCTCCTTCTCTACCTATTTATCTTTCCTGCACTGTTACCTGGGACATTAGGGAGAAAATAAACCAGGTAAGATGCTCTGGAACATTCATTTTCTTACAGAAAGAGTCTTACATGTCCTCATCTAGGAACCTAAAAGGCGGACTGCTAAGAATAGAGAGCCCCTCTCACCCACCAGCCCAGCACAAAGTAAACTTCACTCCAACAGTTTCCTGGGACTCAAACAATCACCCGAGCAGACCAGAAAGGAAGGTTTCTAGTCATATTTAAAGATTTAGAACCAACTTCTTTCCTTTTGTTTTTAAAATTTGAAATGAACAAAGTGGAGATGCATTATCTAAGTTACTTATCTCTGATATTAGCTTACCAAGAAAGAAACATTTTTTTTTTTAAAAGTCATGAAATAATAAAACGTTCTTTTGGTGCTCCTTCATTTTTAATCAAGCCATTAAGAAAATAAAAGTTTAACTGACCTATCCCAAAAGGAATAAATGTTTCTCTTTTAACAAGTTGTCCTTGATCATCCAGAAATCGATTGGGGTCGAAATCATCAGGTTTCTCCCAGATGGCCGGGTCTCTGTGCACTGACCACAGGTTGGGCACTATCATTGTGTTTTTGGGAATAGTGTATCCTTGGAGCACTAAAACAAATAAAAAACAGTGTCGTTCAACATGCTTTTACTAATAATTCTCTATAAATATTGCTACCTGAAAAATATCTAGATACATACCTAGCTTCTGAATTTGCTGAGACTAAACCTTGAGGTATTGCAGTCAGGGCCAAAACCTTACCTGTTAGCATCCTTTTCTCCACACCACCCAGGACCCAGCCCGAGATGGGGCACAAGAGTTGCTCAGATGGATGTTGAGTAAACCATAAAAACTTTACAATTATGAGAAAACAAGAAAACAGAAGTCACAAGGCATCCCAGGTAAACTTTCCCAAAGAATACTAATTCCTAATCCTTGTATAAAACTTGACAGAGTCTTTTATGTCCACACAATATGATGAGGAAGGTAAGCTAAGGTAAAGAGATTTAGGGCCGGCCGAGTGGCACGTTGGTTAACAGCTGGCTTGGGACACCAGCTCTGAGCAGCAGGGCCCCGGTTCGGATCCCACATGAGGGCCAATGACACTGCCCTCTACAGCTAAGATGGTGAACAATAGCTCGACCTGGAGCTGGGCTGCGGAAAGTTGCCGGCGACGGTATAGGCTGCACCCCCTGCTGCACCCCCTTTTAATTTCACACTGGCTGCTGGCTACACACCGTAGCCCAATGCAACCCACCTGCCATCGCCGGTGACCCATGGCAGCCCAGCTCCAGGTTGAGCTGTTGTTCAGCATCTTAGCTGTAGAGGGCAGTGTCACTGGCCCTCATATGTGGGATCCGAACCAGGGCCCTCTGGCATCCCAAGCCAGCTCTTAACCAACGCGCCACTCAGCTGGCCCTAAATGGCATTAATTTGTTTGATCAGTGTAAGCATGTGTGTCCTTAAGGCAAGAGAGCTATTTACATAACAGTCTGCGCCGAATGCCAATACAACCAATAATGTACAAGTATGGGCTGAAGCAGTCCCTGGACATTTGATTGTCCCTGGCACAGTGCTAAGCCATCAGAAGGATCAAGCCAGGCGATGGTCGCCATACCCACACCTCAACTCCTCTGGATTAAGGAGCTGGCCTTCCCTCAAGGGCATTCAAAGGAGGAAGACCTTAGACTTGCCTGTTTTCTCCGAGGTCCTATGAAAAATGGAGAGCGGCACCACCATAGCCAGCCTCTGAACCTCCATGATGGTGGCTTCTGTGTAGGGCATCTGGGCCTTGTCAGTGAGGGAAGGGGCTCGGTCAGCACCAATGACCCTTTTAATTTCTTCGTACACCTTTTCTATACAAAAAAAGAAAAGGAAAGAATAAACCAGAAGATAAGCCAGGAGTGAGTTGAGACTGCCCCCCTATGCACACTTGCCATCACCTTGTACTCACAACTGGTACGTTGGCAGTGCCAGGCCTGACTCAGCCTCAGTGAAGTGAAGCACTGGTCAGATATTCCAAGTCCAGGCAGCTAGTCCCTGTACCACCGCTTGACTTTGAAGGAGGATGACAGAAGAAGGGGCCAAGGAGAAAGCACTGCTCAGGAGCGCTCGGAATCATTCCCTCATATGAACGCTGGACTGCCTCTCTAAGCGTTTATATGTGACAAGGTGTGGTAAACCCAACATGGCCCTCAGTGATCCCTGTTTCTTGTTTTTCACTTTGTCCCCTCCCACTTTGTACCAAGCTGGTCTATGTGACCCATGGAATAAGCGAGAAGTGCTGGCATGTCAGTCCTGAATTAGGTTATAAAAGACACTGTGTCCTGTCTCAGCCATTCACTCTCTTGGGTCACTCAGTTTGGGGGAAGGCAGCTGCCCAGCCAAGCAGCCCCATGGGAAGGGCCAGGGGGTAAGGCCTGAAGCCAGTCGCCCAGTGGGTGAGCCATCTTGGAAGTGGATCCTTCAGTACCAGTCAAGTTGACTGACGACTGCAGCCCCAGCCAGGTTGGACTAGAACCTCATGAGAAATCCTAAACCAGAAATGTTGCATCTCTCTGACCATTCTTCCACAGTCACATTTCCCTCTGACTCGAAACTCAACTGGGAAAAGTTCTCCCCAGGAGCTAAGCCACTCCTGGATTCCTGATCCTCAGAAACTGTGTGAGATAATAAACGGTGGTTGTTTTAAGCTGCTGAAGTTTGGGATCGTTTGTTACTCAGAAGTAGATTAATGAATACAGGTAAGCACAATCCCATCTATAGTAGGCAAAAAAATAGCCCCTCAAACATGTTCACAGCCTAATCTCCTGAACCCTGTGAATATGCTACTTACCCAGCAAAAGGGACTTCACAGCTGTGATTAAATTAAGGGCCTTAAGATGGGGAGATGATCCTGGATTTTCTGGCTGTGCCCAATCGAATTTCATGGGTTTCAAAATTGGAGAACGTTTCCCAGTTGAGTTTAGAATCAGAGGGAAATGTGACCAGGGAAGAATGGTCAGAGAGAGACAACATTTCTGGCTTCAAATATGCAGGAAGAGGACCATAAGCCAAGGAAGCTGGAAATGTCTTCTCCTCGAGAGCCTCCAAGAAGGAATGCAGCACCCCCAACATCTTGATTTTTAGCCCAATGAGACATGTTTCAGACTTCTAAAGTATAGAACTATAAGGTAACAAATTTGTGTGGTTTTAAGTCACTACGTTTGTGGTGATTTGTTACAAGGGGCAATAGAAAACTAACACGCTGTCCTCCCCTGTGTTCTTCCACTATGCACTGCCACTGACATTCACTGCCTGTTGGCATTGACGTGATGGAACTAGCTGTGTGCCTCTGTGGAAGTCACAGAACTGCTCTCCATTTTCAAAATAAGATGAATGGGTTCAGATGACCATTATGATTCCCTTCAGCTCTAAATTGTTATTCTTCCCTAAAGTTCTTTTTCTATCATAGATGCCACACAGAATCAGACCTATGGAGATTTAAAGCAGGGGCAAGTGAGTATGACAATGTCTAAAAACTTTGGATTTTCACTGTTAACACCATCCCAACTCCCTATGAGATGCAGATATTTCCATTTTGTGTCCCAGCATGAAGACACTGCTTAGTGCTAGGACCCACAGAATCGCCAAGGGTGCTGATCCTAATTTAAATAACCTGGTTTTGCCATGGATAAAGGAAACATCTACTACCTACCTTGTACGCCAGGGTTCAGTGACATATACAGAAGGCACCAAAGCACAGAGTTAGTTGTGGTATCTGTTCCGGCAAAGAAGAGATCCCCGATGATATACAACAAGTAATCTTCATTAAAACTACTATTGCTATCATTTTTCTTCTCTTCCTTCTCATGGAGAAGGTACATATCGATAAAGTCCTGAGGGTTCTCAACATCCAGAGACGCCTGATGGTCTTTGATGATTTTTCTAAGGAAAGCAAGCATATCCTTTTCAATTTGTCTTAATTCCTTAAATGGTCCAAAGGGAAGGTAATAAAGCCAGGAGCATATGTTGACCAGCTGGAGCTGGCTGTTCAGACAGATTTCTAACCCTCGTGACATATGATTAAGCATTTTCTTAAACTCATTATTGGTGTACTCAAAGCGCTGGCCAAAGCACATGGAGCAGATGATGTTCGAGATGGCGTTGTTGACAATGGGGAAAGGATCGAAGGGGTCTTCCCCATGCTTTTGCATTTCCTCTTTCACATATTTGAACTCCTTAATAATCCTGGGCTCCAAGCTAAGCTTTCCTAAACCAAAATGACGAAGAGTTGCATGAGAGAACTTTCTCTGTTGTCTCCAGACTGGACCATAATGTGCGAATACAATCCCTGCAAAAGAACACCGAGAAAAGGTAAGAGAGAGCAATGACCAATCATACCAACCAGGATATACCATGAAGTATATTCTGTATTTCTCACGTCATCTGTGCAAAGTTCATGTACAGAAATAGATCACCAGCAAGAAGAATGATTAGCAAAATGTAGTTATCAAGATAGTATATATATGTGTGTGTATATATATATATAAAACAACAAAAATCATATGCGATTTAATTAGGAAAATTGGCTAGAAAGCTTATTACAGATAACTAACTCCTGGTGAAATGAAAAGCAATGAGTTTCAATTTCTAGAGTTTGTGTACATTTCAAATTTTTATTTTCATAATAGTGAATCCAGGCTTAGAAAATTTTTTAGGCTGGAGAGACCCATATTCTAAACATTCTCAACAGAAGGATAAGCACATTGCATACAAGGGCCGGGATCATATCTGCTTGTGTTCACCATGAAAATCCCAGCTTCTGGCCTAGTGCTGGGCTCAAAGGAGGAGCTTGTTAAATATGAGCTGAATAAACCAACAGTCCAACTGGAGTAGAACACTGGCTATCAAAATTTGGAATCAAATGACTGGCAGGTCATCTAAACTGTCTGTTGTTGGCAACAGCCCTAATTTAAAAACATCTGAACTCAAGGTTATCCACAACTACGTCTTATTTGATTCTCCCTTGTTATACATTTTCCACTGTCAAAGCCAACAGAACTGCAACAGAAGTGTTCTCAGGTAATCCTTGTGTCCTGTCACATATTTCATCCTCCTAACTTCCATGGTGTGTGCTTCATTGCTTCAGCCTGTTCTCCTCCTTTCCCATTTTTAATGTACTTCCTTTCTGCTAGCTTCAAGGACACGCTTCATTCACTTAAAAAATATTCCTGAATGCCTACTGTGTGCCAGGCACTGTGATATAGAACAGTAAAAGTAATTACGGTTACTTTATAAGAAGATATATGGAAACTTTGTAATAAATCTTAATTATCTAATAGGGAAGTCCTCCCAACTTGTTCTTTCTCAAAATTGTTTTTGATTATTCTTGGCTCTTTACTGCTTTATAAAACTTTTAATCATCTTGTCAAATCCTATTTTTTAAAAAGTGCCTTTGGGATTTTGACTGGATTGGATTTACAGATTACTTTGAAAACTGTCTTCTTTATGATAATTGGACTTGTTTGCAATTCCAATTTCTCTCTAGAAGAATTTGTCTAAAATTATGACATGTTCCTCTTTTTTCCTTTGAGTTTGTTCTTTTGTTCTTTTTTTGAATAAAGTTGGTCTTCTAACTCGTCAATGTTCAGACCTTTATCGTAAGTGAGTTCAGGCTTTACAGTTGCCTCTTGTGCAGCAGTCCACAAGTATTGATCGCATGTATTTTCATTACAGTTTAAATTTAAATTTTTTCTGTTATGATTCTCTTTTACCACCCACCTCAATTTGTTTCATACTGATTTTTGACACTGATGAGCTTTTTAGTCTGGTGTGTGATCGATTTTAATAAAATTTCTAAGTAAAGTTAAGAAGAATTTTTATCCAAGCAATTGTTGGGTATAGGGTTCTCTATTTGTCCAACAGAGAAAGCTCAATAACTGTTGCACTCACATCTTCTGTATCCTCACCAAATTTTTATCTGCCTGATATCTCAACTATTCAAATACTTATGTTAAAATATTTTGTTATAATGATGCATTTGTCTATTTCTTTTTGCCATTCTGTAGGTTTTTGCTATATGTAGATAAATATCATAGCCATATAGATATTTATATCTATGTCTATGTATCTATCTGTGTCATTAGGTACATATATACTAGACAACATTGTTAGGTACATTCAAGTATAGAATTATTAGATCTTCCTTGTTAAAAAACAAAACAAAAAAACCTCTTTTTATCATCATGCAATCCCCTCCTTATTCTTAACAATGAAGTCTGACTTATAGTATATTTTGTCAAAAATACAACAGCTTTTCTAAGCGTTTTCTTGGTATAACCTTTTCCTTTCTTTTACTTTGAACTTGAATGTACCCTTATGTTTGGTCTATGTCTTCTTTGTAGGGGGCGGGTATATCTCTTTTAAAACAATATATATTTGGATTTTTAAAAAAATCCATTCTGGTAATCTTTTAGCCAGTAAGATTAGTCCATTTACATTTAGTATAAGTACTAATTTATTTCTAACATATTATTTTGAACTTTCCATTTGTCCGGATGTGTCTGTTCTTTTCTTCCCCTTCGTTTTCTTGCCTTCTTTTGCATTGAGAGAAACAGAGTGAATGCTCACCCTTAAATTTTTAACAAGCTTACCTCAAGTCTAGTGTAGTGGTCAGCGAGCTACAGACCACAGGCAAAATCCAGCCTGCAGCCGCTTTCTGTATTGCCAGAGAGCTAAGACTTTACATTTTTACATGGATGGAAAAAAATCAAAAGAATATTTTGTAGTATGTGGAAATTATATGAAATTCAAATTTCAGGGTCTATAAATAAAATTGAACAAGAACACAGCCAGTTAATGAGCCACTGTAATTCACTTACATGTAGTCTATAGCTGCTTTGCACTAAAATGGCAGAGTCGTTGCAGCAGAGAATGAGTAGTGGGGGAGAACATCTCTGCCAGGGTCAGGCCCAAGACAGGCAAATTTCCTTGTTCTTTTGCTGGTGGCCAGGTTTTTGTTGAGTGTTTTCTGTCTAATTCACTCAGAGTGGAGCTCTGTAAGAGTCCTCTCTTTATCTAGAGGCAACTTTTCATCTTGCGTGGTATAAGGCCATATCGCTCTGCCCCTGTTCTCCCAGCTCTGCATTCCTGGCTGGCCAAGAGGTCATTAAAACCCAAGGTTCTCCAGAGCAGCTACTTTCTATTTTCTGCAGGAGTGGGGCTGGTGATAAGGAACTGCTCTAACTATATTTTATATGCATTTGAAATAATCACTGTATTCAGCCCACTAGCCTACCCCTGTACCTTTGGGGGTTCTACAGGGTAAACTATCTCACATCCCACTAACATCCTTCTCTGTAGATACTTAAAGGTGGTCATCCTCCACCCTCTGAAGTCATTTGCCAAGCCCGCATCCACTTTTTGCTTCAGATGCTGGGGCACAGGACTATAGATACATCTGACCATGGGTGGAGTATGTGTGTCTGTTAAAAGTCCCTCTGTTTTGGTGTGTGATTGGCAAGACAAATATGGAATGGAAATGTTTCGATTATTCCAGAAAACAGAACTCTCCCTTCCTAGGAAACCACAGCTTAGTCACTCTTCCTCTTTTTAACCTGGGCCAAGGCTTTTGCTGCACTCACCATTCACAGGCTGTGTTGGGCCTCTTTTCTTTCTTGAAAAGATATGGTCTCTCCCTCTAACATCAGGATTTGATACTAATTTTAACTACCACCTCATTATTTAAGTTATCACATATGACATCTCTGCTTTGTCCTATTACTCAAGGAACTTCATTTTTCCTTTGTTAGGTCCTTGGTCTGTATCATCTATGCACCATCTTTTAAACTACACATTTATATTTTAGAAATATTTTATCTAGCAAAATTCCCTTTTTCTATCATAGGTATTTTCTCAATACCTATGTAGTGCCTCTTATGTGCCAGATACTAAGGGCACATAGGTTAAAGATACAGTCCTTGTTCTCAAGATGTTTACAGTCTTGTGAAGAACTGAATAAACCAACAATCCTAACACACTTTTTTTGTTGTTATATGTTGGATTGTACTGAAGTTGAATATTGCATTGAATGTTGTATGTCGGGTTGTACTGAATTGCATTGCTAAGATGTATTATACTGAATGTTGCATGTTGGAAGTGTATTGAAGTTGCAGTGTAGACAGAGGAAGAAACACCATGTCAGCTGAGGGGAAGCGGTGCTTCTCAGAAGACAGGACATCTGAGCTGATGCTTCATTTGTAAAGGAGGATGTGCATGAAGGCACCGCTAAGAAAAATAACTTCAGTGAGGTCAAAGAGGGTGTTTCAAGAAGGGCTAAATTATCTTCAGGGAGAAATCAAGTTTTGATCAAGGCAAGAAAGTGGAGGGAATCTTCTCAGAAGAAGCTAATATTTAAGCATTGAGGTTTTTGATGATGAGTTGACAGGAGTGAAGGGCAAGACAGAAGAGGTGACCACAGAGACGGTGCCTGGGGATACCAGGGATGAGAGACATGGACAGAATCAAGAGCCTCAGGGTTGTTCACACTTTACAAAGCACCGATGATGTGGAGCCAGAATGGCTTACAGTCTTAGAAATGATTGGAAGAGGTTCAGGTATATCCTGTGGTTGGTGACATGTTCTCCATGCTTATCCTTGAAAAGCAATGGCGTTCATGAATGTACACAAAGTCTTCATCTCAAGGAGGAGGATGACACGGAAAACAAAACCAGCTCCAAAGAAAAAATCAGGCATATTTTGGTTAGGAATGACAAAAATATACCGTCAATCTAGTTTAACAAAAAGGCCAATTAGGCTGTGGAACCCAAAAACAGGAAGGGCCGGGTGTCACCACCTCAGGGAACACTAAATGCCACGGAATTCTTTCTTGCACCATTTTTAACTTTTTTCTGCCTGACTTCTTTCCGCCTGACTGACTTGTTTCCTACCGCAGACTAGATTTCACAAGACTCAAGAGCTATTTTGAGATGCCTTTCTCCCATTTTTACCACCAGAGAGAAAAGTCCTCTATTCGCCAGAGCCAACCTGAAAAATGCTGGGGAAAGATTCAAATGCTCCAGTCACGCATCCCATAATACCAATTTTGGGCATCTTAAGTTTATTTTATGACTTGAAGTTTCCAAACGATACCACAAGTATAAATTCTTTCCCCAAAACTATGTGAGGATAGATCAGCAATTATGAATTCTTGAGTTCTGTGTCCACAGACTAACCAGTGTTACAAAGTGGTGAGATATTCTGATCAATCCACCTTTGATCAGAAGTCTGTCGCTAAACAAATCACGGTGGCCAGGGAGGAGAGTGCTTGTGAAATCTGCCATCTTTTGTTGC